GAAAGGCACTCTGTGCAGATCAAAAATGTTTGGGCATTGGTTGTCTGGGTTTTTTTCAGAACAATCCAGTTACTTGCCCTGTAAATGCCATCTACGTTCACTTAGGAACTACAGTCTTCCAAATCTTCATTTCTTAAATGCACTGATATTACAAGGTTCTAGGTTTGGTCAACTGGAAACTCTCTCACCGGACTCACTACAAATGCTCTGTGTAGTTTAAAATTTGCTCCCATTCAGACTAAGAATTGTAGATGTTTGTAAGAGGTATATCCAGAAACCTCAAGAGACAGCAGGACAGTACTTCTGTTTGTCCCAATTAACCCACACTTATCCACAGCAGATTATTGGACCTTTTCTTTCTAAATTCATAATAAGCACCAAGAAATAGGGAATGAAACTGAAAAGTAGAGTATAAGAAAGAGACAAATTGTTTTAAGAAAAAAAACCAAAACACAAATAACAAGCAGAGGAACACAGCCAAACACAGTAATCCAAACCAACCCAATCAGTTCAACTAAACAAAACCCAGACTAATACTTAAAACTGTTAACAAAAATATGCCAGCTTAAAGTAATTAAGAGTTTTTAAAAAAAAGAGTTCTGAAAAAAATATATGCATGCAATCTCAAGGTACTTTCAGGAGCATTTAGTTCTGTTGCTTAGACAAGGACTGGTCAGCTCTCCTCATTCTACATCCTGCACACATGAGATCTGACCAAAATGTCTTCTGGGGGACAAGGGGTGAGAGAATAAAGTTACGTTTCAGTTTGATATGAATGCTGAATGTGCATATGAAATCTTACTAGGAAAAGTGTTTTTCTAAGTAATCATACAGCCAGAAAAGATTACTTTTAAAAAACATACACCTTAAATTGTCAGCCAGTACTTTCCTGACTATCACTAAATGCTAATGAAATGCTGTGGTAGACATAATTTATTAGTAATATGTGTTTAGTCAGTAGAATTTCAGCAAACTTGGACTTCAACAGCAAATGGACCTTTGGCACAGAAGGTACAGAGAAATATCTGCTTGCTAGTTTTAGTGCTGTAGACACAAGCTTGACCTGATCTGATCTCTCATCCTGGATGTACAGAGTTGTCAGCATTTTTATACGCATGTCTATACACTCGTATCTACACATGTACGTGTATTTTGCCCCAAACACACAGAAATCCAGTACACTGTCATGTTTATTAAATTCCAGCAACCCAGTTCTTTAAGAGCTAAGTCCTCCTGCTTCTGACTAAGCAAGACAGACAGAGCACAGAAGTACACAAAGGAGGGTTATGCCCTCAGAAGACAGAGGAGAAATAGCAAGGGCATAACCATTATGTATAAGGCTTTACAGTGACTGTACTTTGTCAGTCAAGGCAGATTTAAGTGCTCAAAGATGATGATCTGCTGGGCTATGTGAGCAAATTCATCAAGAAAAGCAGACTTCCTTTTCTTCCTATTGAAATTACAAAAAAAATCTCCTTTTAAGCAAAGTAAGCACACTGCTGTGAAACAATTTATTTTGGTAAATCATGATTTGTCTATTAAAGAAACCTGCTTTGGGAACATTTTTGTCAAGCACAAGCATCGCCTTCTATATAAGGTTTCAAGTAAAGCACAACCAACGAGTACAGCCACCTAGTTAAACTGCACTGGTTTCAAACAACTGCTTCCTTTAAGACTGACTTGATCTAATTTTCCTGCCACCCTGCAGTAAGTATCCCTGACATCAAGTGTTACCATACCAGGCGCTGGAAGAGGCAGAACTGGAACAAATGCAAGTTCCCCCATGGCTACTGTCTGTCACTGCCTGCTTTTATATAAACAAGTGCATCCAACTCGAACTGCACAGAGCAGCCTTGCCTCTGCTTATCCTCCCATCTCCGTCTGGAGCTGCTGAGCCACTCAGGGACAGCTGAGAAGTTAGGATAACAGATGATTAAAAGAAACAACATCCCCCTCCCTCTGTCCCATAGCGACTGACTCTTTAGCTGAACTCCAAGTAAAAAAAATGTATCTACTTCTAAAAGACAGAGCTTCACCGAGTGGCAGGAGTAATAGTAATGTCCTTCTACCACACGGTGGGGATAGAGCAGGGCATTTATGTAACTCCTGAAGAGGCACTCGCCCAGCTGTTCCACCGTGACAACAACTTTCAGTTACAGCATGCTGTTTTGGGGACTCTCCCTTTTTGCCCCCTCCCCCCCCCCCAGTTCAATTTACTGGACTTCCAAAACTATGTTTTTAACTCAAAGTTCCAATACAGAAGGTTGGTAGTAGTAGCAGTAGTTCTCCCTTCTCAGAATGAACCAAAATATCCTCTAAGCACAAGTGAATCTGATTCCAGAGTTCCAGCTGGAGGGTGAGGACGGGTTACAGAACAGGGTCAAAAATTCAGGCCTTTTGGGCACTACAAAAAGGGTCAAATATTAAACATTAATACAGTTATTAAAAGAGGAAGTAACTTTCCCTTACAGGTCACAATGCATCCCCAACCATAATTCCAACATCTCCAAATCAGCTATCATGTACTAATCTTACTTCACAGTATATGTTTAGTCTCTTTTTTCAAACACAGCTAGCCTAATGCTGGTCTGGAGGTGTGGGAAGAATTCCTGCTGAATGAGGTATTACTCAGTGCTTGTAAGGATGACAGAATCAGAACTGCAGTTTTTCAGAAAAAAACATAAAAACTGTGCTGTTTCCATTTACTGAACTGAATACAAAGAGTAACTTGACCCTTTGCAATCGTTGCCACAGTGTGATAAAGTATGTAAAATTACTTTTTCAAAAGAAATTGCATCATTGACTACAGAGGCATTTAGAATTTCAGACTTCCTTATTTATTTTATTATTTTGAAGAGATGACTTTTAACCATGTGACAAGAAAGCACACTACTAAAGCTTAGCAAGGTCTGGAAATTTGGTAGTAACTGTGTAACATTTATCTTCCGTCTTCTATAAAGTGTTTTAAATAAATGACTGCAATAACCAGGTACCTAAAAAGGACTAAATACCAGCCCACAAATAATCCAGGCACCACACTCTTCCTGTATCTTTGAAACTGTTACACAAAAGCTTTTTGAAATGACAATGCACAGCTTGGTATTTTGTTTGGGTCCTGGAAAACTTTCCATGAGCAGTAAGCACTGCCTACTGCCCTGTGGTAATGGGGCAATTAGGATGCTCCCCTGGATCACAAACTCCCCCACACCACACATCACTGCCTACTGCCCTGTGGTAATGGGGCAATTAGGATGCTCCCCTGGATCACAAACTCCCCCACACCACACATCCTCATAGAGTTTGTAATACATTTTCTTCCAACTTTTCAGAGACATTACACCAACCAGATGAGACCAAGGGTATCCAGAACAATGCAGGACTGGCAGCTTATTACCTTATTTACAGACCAGTTCTGTTGTGGACCAAAACCTGCATAAGGATAGCAATCAGCTCACCGGCTTCTACTGATCACGGAAGGGAGGAAAAAAAATCCTAAAAACAACTAAGACATCTTCCTTCCTAAACTACCACGTCTTTTCATCCAAAGCACAGCTTCCAGGAAACATTTACTGCCCAGGAAGATTGGGCATGGACATCAAGCATCAGAGAGCAAGAGAAGGCAGAAGTGATGCCACAGAGATCTGCTGACAAAGTCACAGGTTTTGACAAGGAAGCATCAGGCTGAAGTCATGATGTTATGCCCAAGCATAGAGCAGATACATCCAAGCAGGTGCTTCTGGGATGGTCCTGGCTGTTGGAACCAAACAGTACCAGGCCAAAGCATTGTATAAAGCATTAATCTGTATAAGAGGTTGTAATAACAGACCTGATTTCATACAGAAATTAAGAGATGAGGCCATTTCTTCAGAGCAAACGTTATAATTCTGAAGACAGTAAAATGAAATATTTGTAGACAGGGGACTTAAAAACAAGCCTTTGACAAATCTACAAAGTAAAACAAAATGCATCAGCAAGTAGGTATGAAAGCCCCTCAAAAACCCAGTAACTGTTCTTCATATAAGGCTTAATGGGCAAATGGCATAAAAATCTATATAAGACCATCAACTTCACTGGCACAAATCCAGGTGCAGTTTGGTATAAGGAAGCCTCAGGGACAGTGCTCTAACTTCTGACAGTTGACCACACTGTGCTCCTCAAGCTGTATGCACACACGTACTCAAGCTTGACAGGAGGTGGTTGTTTAAGTGCATCCTTTCTGCCTGCTCCAAGTATCTTGTTTCTGATGCAAGAACATTTTAGAGTAATACAGTCTCGCACCGTTATGAAAGAAACAGCAAAAATAATCACATAAATGTGGTCTCTATATTTAGAAAAACAACTGCGCTTTTATGAATTTATTTAGCAATTGTTCAATAAGTATTAACAGTCCATCTGCTACAAAACCATTGGCACAGGAGACATTAAAAGTTAAGACAAAGGGAAATCTACATGTAGCTTTAGTTTAGAAGCCATTAGTCACACTTCTTCCCATGGCATGAGGATACTTCCTATGAAATACCACACAAACAAGAACTGCTCAGTTTTCATCAACTGCTTCATAAAGAAGGAGACAAAGTTTGTTTCTAACACCTTCAGCCACAGGAGCCATAACTAGGGCTCAAGCTGCTGTAAGGCAAGATGTGACAGAAAATCCTGCACATGAGCCAGTGGCAGCTGAGGACACACAGAATTTCAAGCAGCACTCAGTGGCTGGGACACAACTGACTGAGGGTCCTAATGCTGCAATAACTGTGGCCTTTTCAGCAGCACCTTTACACCCCCCAGTAACCTTTTATCATCTGTGTTTACATAGGACTGAAAGCTCTTTGGGATATATCTTGAGTTCTATGTAAGGGTCCTTCCTGGTTGAGACCTCTCAGTTCTATGACTGGATGATTGTGAGTGCATTCTCCACTGGTACACTGAAATTAAAAGAACATAATCTGGCTAAAAATTTCTCCTCCGTTTTTTGGGTTTTGAACTAAATGAGCTTTACTCACTGAATGCAGATGTACACATGCCTCCACCACCACAGATTTGTCAGTATGTAAGTTTTTTCCAAAGACTTGTCTCACCTTTATTCTGAAAGAAAAAAAAAAAACAACACCCAAAAGCTAGCATATGCTGTATTAATGTAAAACCCCTAGAGGGCAACTAAGCTTCAATTTCAACCTGCATAAATATTCAGCTCCTTAACTAGTTTACAGATTATGTAAACTATTTCCTTCAACCTTGGGTTTTTTCCCCTCGTTTAAAAGAAATGAATCCTTTTCATTCTCAAATCACATTATTGCTGCCTATTTAGTGTAAGTTAATCACCACTGCCCAACCAGAGACTGAGTTCTCAACCCACCAAAGCTTAAATGTGTGCAAAAGAGAACAATAAAGAAAACACATGCAAAGGCCTCATTTAAACAAAGACAGAAAACAAGCATATGAAAGTCTGAAATCACTTTCTTTGCATTAAAGACCTTTAACAATACATCTTGTTTATTATTCAGCTTAGTATTAATTTATTGCATGGCATCTGTTTTCTTGTACAACAGTCTGGTTGCAAGTCTCAGATTTATAAACTGAAGTTTATGCTGTTGGGATTACTGGCCTGTTTTCCTCTGCATGGTACAATTTCAGCATTATATATTTCGTGACCAAAAAAAAAGCGATGAAACGGGAAATAAGATGTCAAATTAGTTAAGAAAAATAGTTTCATTTAGGTTTTCGTCTTCAGAGTCCAGGTCTGCTGCTAGTGGTGAAAGAAAAAAAAATCTAAATACTTGGAGCCATAAAAGTAAAAAGCCTTCATTCAGTTCCAAATGTTCTCCCCAAATTTTATAGTAGGTAACTCCAGTGTCCAGATGAGCCTTGTTTGTAAAGAACAAGCAGGCATCAACTGCCTTTCCCTAGTTCTATCAAATATTAGTGGGAGCTAATCCACTCTACAGTTACTATCTTGCCAGTCCACACCTGCACAGAACTTCAGACATATGGATGTTTAACGTCAGAGAAGGCACTTAACAAACCAATGGGACTCCCAAGATGTGGAAGCAACTAAAGACAGAGAAAAAAAACCCTCAAAGGAATCCTTGGCAAACGCCCAAAAAGTCCAAGGGTTTCTACATGGCTTTTACAGGAGATCAAACACCCCAACAAAAATTCATAGCACAGCCATCCTTGCTTTATGCATACCAATGCAATGCCCCATATGCACTGACCAGACAGTTCTCCTTCATCTATTGTCTTATTCTCATTTATATGTGTAAACAGAGACTAAAAACGACTTCCGGTGGAATTCACTTTACCTAATTTTAGCCACCTAATATTTACATGTCTTGCATAAAGTTAATTCTGGAAGTACCTTGCTTTCCTTCTTGTTGCCTTGACAGGGAAGGGGGTATGGGGAGAGAGAGAGGTTGATGCTTCTAGAATGCAGTTATGTCCCACGTAAGAGACTCGACATAACAGCCAAATGTCTAGAACTAGCATGAAATGTCTCCCATCCTACATGACTTAACAATAAAATCAAAGGAGTAGTTCAAGAAGCTGACATAAGTCTCCAAGGCTAGTGTTCCACTCACAGAGGTCTCCTCTCTGAACATTGCAGAACAGGATGAAGTAACTTCTATCCCCCCGGAGCTTTGAAAGACTGTAGAAGGGAGAAGAGGAAGAGTAGACTCTGTTTCTTATTCAGATTCACCTCCTCTGATTGCTTGAAATATAACAAGGTTTTGGTGATCGTTCTGACTTTTTGCTGCAAGTTCAGGCAAGGCTTAGAGACCTGAGCACTTGAAAACTGTTAGTACAAAACCTGTTCAAGTAAAAAGTCATCGTATAATCAGTTAGGGTTTGGACATACAAAACACTCATTACTCCCATATCTCTTTACATGGATGCACATGGCACAACAAAAACTGCAGTCATCCAAATCCAGCAGTTTTCCACAGCAGTAGTAATATACTTTCGGATTTAAAAGTCCAACTTGGAATCTTACTTCCAACAATAGTAGTAATGACATACTAAATTCAGGTACATACATGAATGTGTAAGTAGTTATCTAGAAGAGAATGGAACTAGCATATTTAACTTAGAAAAAAAAATTAATCACATGCCATATTTTCCTGAATTGATACTTAAACTGCAAGAGCAGAAAAGAAAAAGATGAGACCAGAACTATTCATCTGAATAGTCTGTTAGGAGAAGGCAGCCAAAGCAAAAGTTGCCATCTCTGTTAAATATCTTCCTTCTACAGAAGTGCAAAAATTATTTGTTGAGGTTGTAATTTAAGTATTCTCTGCCCAATAATGAATGTTTCTCAAAGGTTTATGAGCCGTCAGTAACTAGTATTTACATGAATTTGATGGCAGAGTGAAGAGACAGATTCCTCAAAAAATATTTTGTTTTAAAACTGCTGAAGTTTCATAGTTACTCAACAGATGGAGCATATCAAAATGAATTTACACAATAGTCTTGCAAGAGCATTCTTTTCCACACCATTCTCACTACCCACAAAGGACTCAAAACTTTCTCAAGCTGTTTTGAATGTATAAAATAATAAAAATCCATCACACATACACATACATGCTTTTTAACTTTCTTAAATTGGGAACAGCTTTCAAAAGTATGGGGACACCTGTATTATCAAGAGAAAGCTAAAGAACCATTAGTACTATTACTCAACAGTCATGAAGCATTGTTACACAAAGATAATATAAAATATTTTAAACACAGGACTTTTGATAGAAGTCATTGAAGACACTACAGAAACTGTGAGCTTTTTTAGTGCCCTGTTAAAGATTAGCAAGTTAATTACTAATTAATTAGTAATTAAATCTTTGGTTGTAAAACCCCGACAGTACACACTTTTATATTCTTCTTTTCCATATTCTATAGAAAGCAATGGTAAGGTTCGTTCATTAACTAGATATATGTTGAAGCCTACATTAAGGTAATAATGCAGAAGAGTGCCTTAAAAAAATGTAAGAATCTAAGCATTATGGCCTGGCAGAATTTTCTCCTGAACTTCCCAGCAGGCAGAAAGAACATATATGTCCAAGTGAATCCCTGACAGTCAGTGTGCTTGTCCTGCTGCACTGGGTCTCACTCACAATGCCACGCCATGTTTCTTCTGCCATGTTGATTTTCCTTTCAAATATCTCCCTCACTGAGATGTTCTGCAATTTGGAAAGAAACAAAAGGGATATTTCCTGTGCACCCAAACTTTGTGCAAGCTGCATTGTTGGGGTAGGGAATGGGATGACACACAAGACAGGCATCAATCTTCTCCATGTTTCTATTCTACAGTCATACCCAAGATGGGTATCATGGACAAATTATTCTCAAGCAAAACCTCTGACACACTGGTTTTCCATATTGTGAAGCTCAATTTCTTCAGCAATATTTACACTATACTTTTGTTATGCTTTTTAAACAATGAACAGAAAGTACACTGTACATTGGAAAGTTTAATGCATTAAGAAGAAACACTAAAAAAACCACTCAGAAAACACATGCAAAGAAACAAGAAGAGGAAACCAGGACACATAAGGAATGACAGAGATTATTTACACCAGAGAAAAATAAAGAGTACTTTTCACCATTGGCCTTATGAATCATTTTGACTGGGCTGTCAGATTCACTGTAGAAAACTACCACCCCAAAGGCAGGAGAAAGAGTAATGGGCAACAAAGTTTGAAGCTGCAGACTGCGGTCACTCTTGTTTACTAGAAACCATTTTCTTCAACCTGAAAGCTCTAGTTCTCCCTGTGAATTTTAATGTCATTTCTTTACATCATAACATTAAAGTTTTTAAGTTTTTGTGTTTTAAATTCTCCATGCTTCTGAAAACAATTCTGGAATCTCAGGGTTCAACACCTTCCCTAAGCCATTTCAGGGAGACTCTGTGGTAGAAACAGTTTTCTAGGATGGCTACTGAACAAGGTTTCTATTTTTCTTTTTTCCTTTTGCCTGTTTAAGATAAATCAGATCATCCTATTTCTTCCATTTAAAGTGCTGCTTTTATTCAGACCACTACCAGGAATTTACCCAACGTCTGAGAACATGAATTGCTTGATATACAAAGAAAAGTTAGTTTAGGCATTAAAAACTCAGAATGTAGAAAACAAAAAGCATTCTTTGAAAGGCAAAATAAAACTAAGCATTGAAACAGATTGTCTAGAGAAGCTGAAACATCAATCAGGTTACAGGACAATCATAGGCATGCTACATATGACCCCAAGAGAAGATGATAGACCAAAATGTCTTCTAAAAGTCCTTTCCAGCCCTGCATTCCTTTTATGCTTGAAACATATGCTCTCCAATGCAGCAATCATTTTCTAGGGCACTCAGGTTTGATAATCATTTTACAGAACTGAAGTTCATGCTTTTGAAGCACAGTTAGACCAGTCTAGATTGAGTCAAGAAGTCCTGCTTTCAATTCTCTCCTATGTCTTCCCACATTATAGTTTCTGTACATTTCCCACATATTAAACCATAGCATGCGGAAGTTCTTTTTGCCAACATAAGCTGTGTCTCCCTAAAATGACTTTTAGAAGGTCTGACAGTCTACAGCCACAGGTGGGATTACATCTCAAGCCACAACTTCACAGTGCTTTTTTACACCAACTTCATGAGCATTCCATTACAGCAAAGAGTATGGGATATTTCTGTCACCAAGAAATAAAGCAAGACCTGTATCAAGCCTGGCATGCAAGTGTAATGATAAATTTACATACATGAGCAGACTGTATGATTTCATGTTTCAAAATGGACTATTTAAATATCCTTGAAATATGTTACTGATCTGAAGGCTTGAAGGGCATATTTAGTTTATATTGAAGAGAGGAAAAAAGAAGAATGATTAGATACCTCCTTGAGAGATTCAGGATCACAGACAGAAAGAAAGAAGCCTATAAAGTGCAAGACTTTATGGGTGATAAAAGTCATTCAAGGAAATTCTGAACTTAACTATTAGAAGTCCAAAAAAAAGCCTTACGGAGTTAAAGAAACCTTTCTTTAAACTCGTTTTAGGAAAAAGATAAGAAGGTAGATCCCTTAATACCATAAAGTCCCAGATTCCCTATAACTATTTCAACTTCTTCCCAATACAGCTGATAGATACCAAGAGAAGACTGTTCACTCCACCCAAGGGAAATTTTCATGCACTGGTCTTCTACACTATCTTATTCAAAATTCCTAATGTAAATCCCTTTCCTACTCATTATCCTATCAGAATGATTACCTTCCATCCCTTACATGACTCCTTTCAAATCCTTTCTAGTATCCCTCTCAAATCCAGAATACAACAGCTAAACTGTTTTTCTTGTTCCCTGATCATAATTTAAAGCCTCATTCGTACCTCCAAAACTCTAGGAGAAGCTCTAGCATTCCTTGACCATCTCCTTTCCCAGCCACTGACCAGCTCTGCAGCTCTTGATTCCTCATCCAAAATACCTCTCGCCTTCTGTCATATGATTACACTAGCTGTAGAGGGATCTATCCTGATCTTAGGCAGCACACTTTCCAGGTGCTCTTTTCTGCAGGACTGTTCAAAATAAAATTCAGAGGGATGACAGTACAGCACAGATTTTATAACATTTCATTACTGTACTCTATACTCCCTTCTTAGGCATCGGACCTGTAAGTAGAACACTCTTCAGAACACAAATCTCTCTACCCTTTTTCTATGTAGCACCACAGAGACTGTACTACTGGAAAGCAATTACAATAGCAACAAAACTAAATTTGGAGGTGGGAGAGAGGGGGATTTTTTTGCTGTTGTTATTAAAAGAACCTGAAAAATAAGGTACAATAACATGGTTTTACTCAGCAACAGACAGCATTGTTTCTACTTTAAAAAAGAACTTGTGCATTGTCAATGTTGTCACCACAGGACCCATTTAACTTCCACATCAAAGAATAAGTGCCAGAGGGACAGCTCACTCAATTTAAGCTAAGCAATCTTTAGAACTACTGTTCCACATGGAAAAAGAAGTTTAAAATATTTTCATCTCTAAACAGGATAAAAATTTTTGAGATTTCATCAAACACACTCTGATTGTTTCCAGAACACAAAAAAGCATGAAGAACACTTAGAACACAACATTTTGTTGAAAGCGTATTTGCCAAACTGTACTTCAATTTAACTTGTGTTCCCCTATTGAGTAATAAGACCTGTGATTCCTGCCTTTATTTTTTACTAGCTCCACTAACTCGTAGTATTCCACACATAGATATGTACAACAGGTATAAGTCTCCAATCTACAGGAAAAAATGGGAGATCAAAACTACAACTCTCATAATGCACTGCCTCATAAAATCAAAGCACATTAGGTGAAACCACAACTTCTATTCTGATTCCCATTTAGCTCAACTGAAATTAACACTTAATTGCAATTTTTGTGATTTGCATAAGCAATTTTCTTTGGCAAATACACTTGTCAACTTCATGTGTTCTCTAAAGAGTGGTGGACAGAAGCTTTCCCCTGTTACCGTATGCTGAATACAAGGTCAATACACTGCTTGTAGGCTGCCTGAAAGCTCACTATTTATTGTATTCTGAATACATTAGCTACTTTTTGACCAAACTAAGTTCTGTTTTCCACTGCTGAACTTAATGGTACCTACACAACACATACTGACTTCAACTGTTGAAAAATAACCTATTTTCTGTGTGAAAGTAACCCCAGGGTAATATTCATAATTCATAAATGACATAAATATTTATACACATGCAATGGGAATATAGCATGACCTCTTAAAAGTATTAAGATTTATTTACACAAAG